AAACAAAATCAGAGGAAATCGAAGGAAAATTTTTTCCTCTCTCTCGGCTTCTCCTTTATATAAACAGTGTCCGAAGGCTACCAGAAATCGGGTCATGGGCTCGAGTTACCGGGTTGTATTTTGGGCTTATATAACCGGGTCGAGCCCAAAAACCGGATCATGCGTTCGGGTTACCCGGTAGTATCAGATGATTTTCTCATCACCAGGACATTTAAATAAGCACAAAAGAGCTATATAAAGCTGTGAGAGCACGTTATTTAATTCCCAGGTAGAGATATACAAGAATTTGAAAAATGAAAAAAGTGAGAAAATACAAAAATAATGGATTTGGAAGATCAATATTGTTGTGCCTTACATATAAGAATATTGAAATAATACAAATTTACCAACCAATGTCAAGTGTTGTAACTTGTCATCGATTCTTTTAACTCTCACCTTCAAACTTTGCTTCCTCCAGTGGCTGATGAGCTACATCATAAGTTGCATGAAGACCAACGAATAGGTAGTACAACAGCATCACCATGGTGCATATAATGAATCTCAGGAATGCTACATAACCGAGTGATCCGATAAGGAAAATATTCATGGCGATTGAAAACGATGGCAACCACGGAACAAGCGGGACTCCCCAAACCTTAGGAACACGGTATTTCGGAAGCAATGCCAATCCCAAAGTCCCTATAAACCAAATAGCTCCGCTCACTGCGTAAGCGATCCACCCTCTTGTGCCTGCGTTCCAAAACGCTGATACTCCAATGGAAGAAGCAATTATCAGAAACAGACAACCACGGAACTTTAACAAACCTGCCTCAGGGGTTACATCCTTCACGTAGTAACGTCTAACGAGTAATGCTACTGCCACGAGCATGAAAATGAAGAGGGTAGCAAAGGAGAAAACGCTTGACAGAACATCTAAGCTGGTGAAAAAGGAGATTATTGCGCTGAGTATGGTTACAAGTAGAGTAGCATTGATAGGGGTTCCTGTTTTGGGATGAACTAAAGCAAACCATGGAGGAATCATATGAGACCGAGCAATCTGGGTGGTGTAACGAGCTTGGCCTAGGGATCCAACAAGCAGGCTTGTAGTCATACCCTTTAAAGCACATATACCAACCAAGTACTTAGCCCATTTCATCCCAATCTGAGCAAAAGCAACCGAATAAGCTGCATTCGCATCGATCTCAGTGTATTTCACCATCACTGTCAACGCCAAAGCCATCAAACAGTAAACAACGGTGATCATAGACATCGAACCAACCAAACCAATCGGTATATCTCTCGATGGTTTCTCGGTTTCTTCAGCCATGTTTGCAACCATATCAAACCCAGTGTATGACCAGTACACAACAGCAGCTGACTGGACCACACCTTTCGCACCGTAAGGGAAAAATGGAACCAAATTGGAGCTTTTCGAATGAGTAAACCCCACAACGATGATAAACACAATGATACAAACTGTGACAATGGAAGTAATCAAATTCAACCAAGAAGTCCTCTTTGTTCCACTAATGGCTATGCCATTAGCAACTAAAAGCACCGCCACAGCAACCGGATCAAGAAGATCAAACCCTTTAGCAAACGAATTGATTCTAATCCGGAAATAATCAGAATCGTTCTTGACCAAACTAGCTAGATACGAAGACCATGACCTTCCTAATCCAGCAGCACCAACCATTGCCTCTAGAAGAATATTCCCAGCAGCAATAAACGCGATAAAATCCCCCAATTCAACCCTAAGATACGAGAACGAACCTCCAGCAACAGGGATTTCAACTCCAAATTCAGCATAACAGAGAACTGAGAGCATAGCGGAGACACCGGAGATAGCATAGGAGAGAACAACTGCAGGACCCGCTCCGATTCGAGCTTCCTGACCCGTGATCACGAACACACCAGACCCGACTACACCACCAAAGCTAAGCCATAGAAGATCCCACCAAGTGAGACAGCGACGCATAGGGTTCTCGCTTTCACGGCGACAAGCATCGATCTCGTACGCGTCGGAAGAACGCGAGAGAATACGGTCGGCGAGTCGCTGACAAGTGGCGGCGAGAGCGGATTTGTAGGAAGAGAAGCTCTGGAACGAGGATTCCGGGAAGAAATCCTGCTTCCTCCATCTCCAGTAGCTCCTCCGTTCGTTAATTAGGTCGTAGGATACCGAGTCATGCGGCTGAGCTTCCATGGATTTGATCGGAAGCAGAGCAAGGTCGTCGTGCTAAGGAGTAAGAGTTGAAGAATGACAATTTTAAAACAGTTTAGTGCCATTAGTGTAATTATAAAATGGTTAGGGACTGAGTTTGTAAAACAGAGTTAAAAACTCGTGCAGCAATCACTCACTGAAAGGGTGACAGTACAACCCTAGAAA